CTCAAACAACAGATGCCGCTTTCTATTTCGAAGGGGTTATATCAAAATAGCTCACTAGTAGATGGCCCTATGTTGTGAAGCAGAAGAGAGTCTAGTTTATTCCCTCCTACCTCTCCATCCAAGTACAAGAGGTATGTCTCGAAGGCCCAGGAGAGGTGGAAACGGAGCATTCTCTCCGACTCGGAGTTTTCCGTAAGGAATCTTAATGCTACCAAATCCCTTTGCCCTGAAGCAACCTCCTTAATTTGGTTGGAGTTTACATTATTATGCCTTCAACTAACTCCTCGTCATAATGAATGATGAGATATGGTGTTTAGAGTGTGCGAGAGTGACGTGCACAGACTATGCTTTCGGGAGATATACAACAAAAGTATGTACTTTGCTTTAGATCTCAATTCCTATGCCTGTATAGACTAATGCCAAAATGTTTTTCCACATCCTGTACAGTTGCTTACATTTTCGTAAGCAATTTCAGACAATTCATCCGTCTTCTTATCTACGGAATCGCCTTGGAATTCGTTGCGGTACTTTTGGGGCTCAGTGGCGCCCTGAGCAAAGGAGGCATCCTAATATATTCAAGTATGATCGTTTGCAACTTTTTAGCGGGTAAGTCCACACTTATCCATAATAACCTGCATATATGAATTAGGAATCCTTTTGAGGTTTATAGAATAGTGTGAATAATTTACTCACACTATGACAGGAACAATCTGGCGACAAGAGTGTAGACAAATTGAGACTTAATTATTGATGTAGTATCGAATACTACTCATTGTGAATAAAAGTAATTTCTGCAAGGGATATGGAGACCATCTTCTATCAAATTCTCTCTCCCTCTCTCTTTCTCCGAGTTTTTATATGTGTCTACTCCCATGACTCAAACATTTCTCCTAAAGCAAATGTGAGGAAAGCCATAGAGACTCCAATGGCACTGAATGCTGCACGATCTTGACTTCAGTAACCCTAGCAAGAAGGGTATTGGATTCACCCATGAGCAGATCTATTGGCCGACTTTCGGATGGGTCTCGTCCGGTTATTGAAGGGCTGGCATACGTACTTGCCCATCGTTGACCATCTTCCTCGCGACTTTTTGAGGTCATGTCTATGCACAATTCATTGACATCGTGACTTCTTCTTATTTAATTGTGAGAAATCTCAATTATCTCTCCTACCTCACCTTAGGCGACATGGGCTGGAGAAAGTTTTTATCTCAAGATATTAGTCGAAGGTGCCCAATTCCCCTCTTCATTATTATATCTCTCTATCAATCCATTTGGATGGGTATCATGCAATCTCGAGAGACAATTCTGACAGACGGTATCTAGGCCTGACGACACAATTGACAACTGCGGTGGAATATGTACCAGAGTTGGGTTGGCGACAGAGGGCAGGAAAAAGTGAAGAGTTGCTAGCGCTTGGTTGTTCGCCGCGAACTGTGATCTTATAAAATATACGAATAAAAATAGGTTTTAGATGAATTTCTTAAGATAACATTGTTGTGAAGACTTTCATTTCGTATGAAAGTGCATAATAAAGTGATTTCGGGCTCAGTCTTACCGGAAAACAACAACTTATTCACCCTTTTCTACAGTCGTTCAGGTTGCCAGCCTTTCTCGTTTCAAACGAAAACTGGCTGCGATTTCGTCCATGATATGATGGACATCATTAGAGCTGGAAGTCATTCCTGCAAGTCTAAAGTTAACACTAAGTCAGGAGTTCGTATGGCGAACTAAAGCTCAATCCGTTTTAACCCGAAACGAGGAAGCATGTCTCGTTAACTGCGTCAGGCTGAAAATCGCATTAAAGCGAAACAGTTGTAGTCTTCTAATGAGCTATAAATAGACATTTCTTCCTCATTCACTTTCAGAAGAAATGAAAGTCTCCACAACATTGGTATCTTGTATACGGCAGGATGCAATTGAGCCCAGCCTCAATTAGCACAGCACAAATCTGAACACCTCGACAATGGCTCGCCCAAATTGCAAAAAATGAGTCGAGTGAGCCGATTTGGTCGTGCAAAGTAGTGATTCTGAGTGGGAATCATTCTAGCGATTCTGAGGCTACCCAGTTGTGGTTGAGCCTACACTAAAGTCGGAGCGATAAAAAATTTTGGGCTGAGGGAATTTTACTCGCATCATTTATTTCATTGTTAGAAATTCACCGCTTGGCTCCACATCATGATAGGCGACTAAAACTGACTAAAATTCTTGTTGAGGCTCTTTTGATAGGTTCGAGATTTAGTCATTCGAGACAGCTCAAATTAAATTTTCAAATTGGATAAGAATGCCTTTTGGGAAGCAAAGCAATATGAAATGTTATGATAGGGTAAGGTCTATTAATATAAATTTAGGGAACTTCAACTGCCGATCCCCTTATCACTTTAAACGAAATAGGCTGAACACATCTTCTAAAGAGGTTGTTTGGCCTTGTTTTCGCAACATGGTCATATTGGTAGGAAGACTCAGAGGAACGCACCTAGTCCCGAGTCCATTGTCTGCATCAACATTTCCAAAGTTGAACCGTGGACGTGGTACATTCCAAAAAGTTTTGCCGGCATCGTAGTCGGTATCGTCAGTGAATTTCGCCATTCTTAGCAACACACAACAACTCGTCAAAGAGACAAGTGAAGCCC